TCTATCTTGTTAGTCTGCATTTTAATGCTTCTTGTTAGTTCATGTGGAGTATGTTCTTGCTAGATGGCAGCGTTCAACATCCAGGAAGCTTTAATGTGGAAGGATAAAATTGAGAGTGTCATAGATCAGGTCTGTAAATTCTATCTCGCAATCCCTGAATCACAAAATTTGCTGCCTTGTCTTTAACCTTCTATCTTAGTACCACAGAGTAACTGTCATTTCATTACGACACTGGTAAATTATCAAAAGAGGGTCTCTCTGTATCTGCCTGTCTTATCTGATTACTGTTCTGTGTTTTACACTGTTGCAGCATCAAGAATCTCTAGTACCAAGTGGTCAGCAATATGTTTCTTTTGAATATAAGCCTGGGATGGATGTTGGAAGGACTGCTTCATCTTCAGACCATGAAAGCCCGTGAGTGCATAATCGACATCATTTCTTCATTTCTGCAAGCATCTTAATTTTATCTTACATCAACTCACTTGCTTAGGTTTCCTTGATCATATGATTCCCTGCCGTATTCATAAGTTCTGGTCGTAGAGTATTATGTTAATCCTTTACAGAGAGTAAATCTGAACTGTGTTGAGAATGGTGACCCATGTTATGCAGAAGGAGTTTATGGTTTGTGGGAATCATGATCACAAAATAAACTTGAAAAATGGGATTGGTAATTCTATTAGATTCAAATGGAAGATATAATCATCAATTGAATTATTACTATGAATTTTGGTTTAGTTAGTTCTGATCTTTGATTCTTTTCTAAAAACGTTAGAGATACTAGATGATGGTAATATAATACTGCATCCGAAAACTGACCAGTATCATTTGCTATTTTATTAATGGTGATGTTTGACACTGTTTTCTTGTGCTGGATTTTATGTACCTATATTTATGCAAATCAATCTATGCAAATTTCTTCAGGTTCAGTGCGCTGGAGGATGACGATGACTCTCGACGTGATTTACTGAGGAGGACAACTATTGGAAATGGTTATCCTCAATTCATTTCTTCACGTACTAATTTGGTCAGCTGCAATCCTTAATGCAATCTGACCACCTCAAACAAACATGCAGGCCCTCCAGAATCTATACTTGACTGGACTAAGGAGTTTGATGCTGAGTTGTCAAACCAGAGTTCCAGCAATCAGGCATTTTCAAGAAAACACTGGCGTCTCCTTCAGTGCCAAAATGGTTAGTAATTATGCATGGTGTTTGCATGCATTAGAGTTTTATTTCTTATCCTGATAAATTACAAAAAGTTGCGACTTATTAAATACCAAATGTACTTCCCCCTAACACCTGTAAGGCTTGTCACTTGTGTCTATAATCGGCTTCAAATTAAAATTTCACTACTATACAATCTGTTGGATCATAGAGTTATGTAGTATTCAATGACAGTGCTTAAATTCGGGAATTCTTCTTCTCACTTTTAAATACATTTTGCAGGTCTACGGATTTTTGAAGAGCTACTTGAAGTTGATTATCTTGTATGGAAGTTCCTAATAGCTTGTCATTTTAATAGCATAATTTCCTACTTATTACATAGTAATTTTTATTTAGAAAAGAACCATCATTTACAGTGCTAAGCATGCAGCCAAGAAGCTGCAGCAGGGCAATGAAGGCTGTTGGTGTAGTGGAGGCCACATGTGAGGAAATATTCGAGCTTGTGATGAGCATGGATGGCACTCGATATGAGTAGGTGTTTCTTCATCTTCTGTATTCTCATATCTATTCTGGTCATAACAGAATCTTTTTTTGGATTTTCTTATACACATGCTTTATTATTTGGCAAATTTTATTGGATATATCTTGTACCAGTAAAATAAATTGTCCCTAGTGTCAGTCCTTATCTCTTCTGTTTCCACATTCTACAGTATTTTTAGCAAAAGTGTTTTCGTTTTGTTTGTTCTGGTATCTGAGGCTCTTTGTTTTCCCTCTTTTCTTATGGTTTGACAGGTGGGACTGCAGTTTTCAGTATGGGAGATTAGTGGAAGAGGTGGATGGTCACACAGCAATACTCTATCACAGACTTCTGCTCGACTGGTTTCCAATGTAATACTGCACCAAAAAATATTATCATATAGTAATAACCACAAATCCGCATTCAGTTGCTAAGTTGTGATTTGATTCATAATCAACTAAATTTTTTGTCAACAAAATAGACAAGTCATCCAGATATGTGTTTATTTATTTTGCTTACCATAATCCGTGCTACTGAAAACCGGTAGAAATGAGTTAGAGGGCCATTATACTAGTCAGAATAGTACTTGGTTGTTTTCATGGGCTCTGTTTTAGTAATACTCATGTTATGAAAATGGCTGTAGGGTTGTGTGGCCTCGTGACCTCTGCTATGTACGTTATTGGCGTCGTAATGACGATGGAAGTTATGGTAGGTTCCCTTCCCTTTTTACTCATGCTAAAACTGGACAGCCTCTATTTTGTCGAATTTTCTCGAAGGGACAGTCTCTATTATATTTCTAGTTTTAATTATTTATCTTGCTCTTCCTGTGAAGTGGTATTGTTTCGTTCTAGGGAGCATGAAAATTGTGGTCCACAACCAGGATTTGTTCGGGCTCATCTTGAGAGTAAGTTTAATGCTATGTCTTCTATCACCAAAATCTTCTAAAATATTATGTATTACAATCTGACTCAAATTATGCTCTCTTGTTTAGGTGGAGGATTTAACATCGCCCCACTAAAGCCCCGGAATGGAAGGCCTAGGACACAAGTGCAGCATCTAATACAGATCGATCTGAAAGGGTGGGGTGCAGGTTATCTTCCAGCATTTCAACAACACTGTCTTCTTCAAATGCTGAATAGCGTTTCTGGTAAATTCTTTTGTGCTCATTTCCCCTAAAATCCCTGTGGAAAATGACTTATGCTATTCTTGAAAGAGCACTTAAGCATCTGGCATTTAAGTCATGGACTTGTGTTCATCTCAGGTTTGCGCGAGTGGTTCTCACAGACAGATGATAGAGGTCAACCAATCAGGATCCCTGTTATGGTTAATATGGCATCTTCTTCCTTAGCCTTGGGTAAAGGTGGAAAGCCTCAGCATAAGTCTTCCCTTTCTATTGATCAAACAAATGGTGCCAGCAGAAACTCTGTGCTAATGGATGAAGACTCGGATGACGATGACGAGTTTCAGATACCTGATTCAGAACAAGAGGTTGGCCTATCAAGGATTCTATTTGAACTTAAGATTTTATCCAGTTGAGTCTTTCGTCACATTTGCTATATTTCAGGCTGAAACGAGTAAGCAGGAGCAGGAGCAGGAGACTGATGCGAAGAAAACAGGTGAATTAATAGTCTAGTTTTAATGATTAATGCTTTCTGAGTTGGTGAAAAAGTATCTAATCTCTATAAATTTCTTGTGCCATTTGCAACCTCAGAAGAAGAACCTGCTCTCAAGATTGATCTGTCATGTTTCTCCGGTAATCTGCGACATGATGATAACGAAAATTCCCGTAACTGCTGGAGAATTTCTGATGGGGACAACTTCAAAGTCCGTGGCAAGAGTTTCTGTGATGATAAAAGGAAGGTTAGTAGTATCTCCCTAATTACCTTGAAACGCACAATAAAGATGCCCATTCTTCTACATCAAGTTATCTCTTGGATACTCACTCATCGACTTTTACTGAAGATTCCTGCTGGGAAGCATCTTATGGATCTCGTCGCCGTCGATTGGTTCAAGGACACTAAAAGAATGGATCATGTTGTTAGGCGCAAGGGCTGTGCAGCACAAGTAAGAGATACTAACTCTTGTGGCTTAAGTTCCTCGTTAGCTCAAGGGAGATAATATTATCCCTTTACTTTTCTATTATCTTTCATTGAGGTCTCTTTGTCGTCACTTGGAAATTCCAATTAAAATGTTACTAATCGTTTCAGGTTGCTGCGGAGAAGGGTCTTTTCTCAATGGTAGTAAATGTTCAAGTAAGTTTTGCCTATGGACTACAACAATATGTACAAACTATAAAATTAGTTTATCTTATCGATGTTTTAACCGCTAATATAATAGGTTCCTGGATCAACACACTACAGTATGGTATTTTATTTCGTGACCAAAGAACTTGTACCTGGATCCCTCTTCCAACGTTTTGTTGATGGTGATGATGAATTTCGGAATAGTAGGCTCAAGCTTATACCTTTAGTCCCCAAGGTATTTCTCTCTCTGTTTTCCCCTCTCTCTTTCTCTATGTAAAATCATAGAACAAATAAATTCATATGACAAACCAATCTTATGCAGGGTTCATGGATAGTAAGGCAAAGCGTGGGAAGCACTCCGTGTCTCCTCGGGAAAGCAGTGGATTGCAACTATATCCGCGGTCCAACATACTTAGAAGTGAGTCCACATTCTGCTAACTTTCTAAAAGCTCTATATTGGGTAAAAGCAACTCAAAGAAACATTTTTATCCCCATGCAGATAGATGTAGATATCGGCTCATCAACAGTCGCAAATGGAGTTCTCGGTCTTGTCATTGGCGTAATCACATCTTTGGTTGTCGAAATGGCTTTCCTTGTACAGGTAAATCAATCTAACAAAATCTAAGACTTTGATCTTTTAACATTGTTTCTCCTCTTGAAATCTTTTGGATGATCCCGAAATTGCGTTTATAGGCGAACACACCAGAAGAATTGCCAGAGCGGCTTATCGGGGCGGTGAGGGTTTCTCATATCGAGCTATCATCTGCTATAGTTCCCAATCTGGAGTCAGATTAGTCCCTACGCTCTCTCTCCTAACTTGAAATGCTTTTACAACAACTTCATGTTTGGTCTGTCTCTATTTTTCTCTCTTTTTATATTTTATTATTACATTATAGGTGACATTCTCTTAGCCGTCCTCACAAAGTTAAAAGACTTTAAACAACACTTTATCCTTGTAAAATATAGTAACACATATGCTATTACGAAATTATTATTTTGTCTATTATAATTAGAGAGAATCAGTAATGAGAAGATTCAGATCTCATCTATAGTCCCCATTTCATCTTTGTCTTACAAAATATGAAATATCTCTTCTTCTCTAAAATATATTCTATACTTTCAGAAAACTCAATGCCACTGAGCAAAATAACATGAAGTAAATTTGTAAACATTCTATAAGCAAAAGAAGAAGAAGACGTAAAATAAAAGAAACTGCCTCTGTTACCTAAGGATGTCTATTTGCAATCACATTTGGCTTCATTTCAATCCCATAGTTACCAGAATTCAAGAGATCAAACCCACTTTTGGAGTTCAAATCGAAATGCACAAATCCGGATTCTGGTTTAACACCTGCGTCTCCGGTTTCTATCTTCTCTTGTTCTCCGCATAACCGAAAATCTTCGGAGGAATCACCATTAAGGTGTAAGATATTGGTAACCAAACCCACCGCCTTTTGGCTCTTATGATCATCTCCTACAAGTCCCGAAAGTGCGAGGTTGAAATCCGAGAACTGGCCCTTGTCTGTTTCTGCTGCATTACCACAAGGTATGCTCTTCTGTGCTTTCTCTAGTAATGTCAACAGGTACTTTCCTTGTGCCTCCATTCTCATCTGCAGTCTTTTCTGCACCTATAACACCGCAAACTCGGTTCAAAATTGTTTCGAAGATAACAAAAAGAAAAAAAAGATTATTTTCCTTTCTTGTTACCTCGAGCTGTTCTTGAAACCGTTGTTGCGCATCAACCTGATGTCTCATTGCCTCTGCGAAAGGTACATTCCCGCTTTGTCTACACATATACACATTCACATTTTGTCAAAACCAAAGTTTACAAATTCCATTGAAATAAAGAAAAGCATATTGATTCATCTGATATAATACCTATGATGGCCACTATCAAATCTTGATTCATTAGAGATTCCACCTTGAGAACAATTGTCGAAATGCACATATGAACTTCCTGTTAAACAAAAGTACAATCTTAAATGTAATCCCTATATCCATTTTGTTCAGCAACTTAACTCCTTCTAAGTTATATCTACTCCCATATTCTTCTAAACTATACATAAACCTTTAGTTATATGTGCTATGCCTATGATCATCATACCAGCATTTTCCTTGTTTTGGTCTGATCGATTTTGTTTTTTCCCTTGTTGTTGACCAAGTCTATACTTCTGCACAATTCAAACAAACACATCACATAGCACACGTAAGTAAAAACAAAAAAAATCAGAAGTTGAAATTTATACACATCCAAATTCGTATAAGTGTAGTAGACCTGTAAATGGCTCTTGAGATGGTACAGTGTCAAGCCTTTTAATCCCATCAGCTTCAGAACCGACTTCGGCGTTGCTTCTGTAAAATCAAACCACAATGTCATTAACAGGAACCAAACAAACCGGAATAAACCGGAATCATAAGTTAAAAACCGGTTTATCTCTAAATTAAAGAAGAAGATGAAGAGAGAGATTACTGTCAGCGCCACCGAGCTTAGCGACGGCGTCGACGAAGCGATCGTGAAGATCGGCGGTCCATCTCAGCCTAGGTTTAGGATCTCTAGTCATCATGACTCCGCCATTATCGTAACCCAAACCTCCCAGATTCACTCTCTCCATTTTTTTTCCGGTCAAATAATGGCGGGAAAAACCCGCGGCGGCAAATGGTGGAAGGAATCTTTTCCTCTTCTTCCGGTGGATGAGATCCGGGGAAGAGGAAAAAAAAAACGTAACTTTGAAAGAAGAGTTTAAAAGTTTTGTTTTGTCAAACTCAGTGGGGAGGGAAGAAGAGATTAGAATTTTGTTAAGAAAGAAGGGAAATGTGAGTGGAATTAGAGGAAGAGAGAAATAGAAAGAGGTATTAAGATGATGAAGAAAAAGATCAGAGAGGATCAGAGGAAAGAAAAGAAAAAAGCTGTAATTGCAGGAAAAAAACAGAGCTGAGAGAGAAAAGAGAAGAGAGAATAAAAAAGTCGTCGGGGGTGATGATGATGGAAGAGGAGAAGAAGTGGTGACATTATTAAGTCACTTAACGTCAACCTTCGTTTTTCTCTGTTTTTTTTTCTTCTACTTTTTTTTTTTTAAAGTATAGTTTTATTTATAAAATATTATTCTTATATAAAAATAATGAAAATACAAAACGGTAAAAAAAATCAAATATTAGTAAGAAAAAGCAGTAAAAAAAGTTGGAGGATGATATTCTTTGTAATGTTTTTAAAAATCAATTTTGTAATTAATAAATTATTATATAGATTTTATTGGTAATTCCCGTACCATTTTGATATAAAATATATACCATTTTAATAGTTACTAATCACAAAAATAAGATAAAAGTGTTTTTGTAGTTTTTTGGATGTTTTGTGAATTTTTTTTATGACATGCTTTTACACATTTTCAGCTTATAGTTTTTTTACAGTTTTGTATATTTATCAACCAGACCAGTTAAAATGATGTTTTAACGTAGACTTTTTTTTTTTTTTTGGGGTCATGTTTTAGAGTCTTAAGAATATATGATTGCGTACCTTTTTTAAATAAAAAAAAAGAGTATAATTTTAAAAAGAGGATTTGTAACATGGGAGGAGAAGAACATGGCCCGCATCATGGATATTTGTTTACTACTAAGATTATAATTGTCTACCAAAGGAATATAATTTAAGTTTCTAGGAATTATCATTTTTTTGATTAATTTAGTATCGTTAGATTATGAAATTTTATATATATATTATAACATAACTTATGAGTGAAGGTTTTGTCTCATTCTCACATACAAATCCATGAATCAAATCTCTCTCCATGTTGGTCTTTCATTTAGGTATCATTATTATTTATAACTCTTATTTTTATCGATTCTTGTCTGGTCGGATACTACTCTCTCTAATAGCAAATGGTTTTTAACCAGATTAGTAATTTACACATTACTGCATTAATTCCTGATAAAATAAAATTATTTCTTGATGCTAGGTCATCATTACTGTTTTTTTCTTTACATATACATCGTTTTATATATAATATACGATGAGCGATGCCCGGCGACAACACTCCGACGAGAGCGACATAAAACCCTTATTTTAATGTTTTGATTATTCATAAAATGATAAAAATAGTAATAATCCAATGATGTTCTTACAAATAATTAATTTTTTTAAATTAAAAAGAGAATTATGACAAAAATAAAAGTGCATGGGGATGGGAGAGAGAGCATGTCCACGTAAGACTGCCAGCGTGGAATATTCGCCGTTGGACATGGAGACTACAATATTCTGATTACTCACATGTCGCGACGGTGGGGGTACTATCGTAACTTCCAACAAATGACACGTGGAAGTCTCCCTTGCTCTTTACGCTTGTTGGATCGAGACCCCACCAACGATACACGTGGCACTAAGGCCGACTCGGCTACACCACCAAAATATGAAAGTGCGGTGGATTTCTCAATTCACACAGTTCGGTTTACAACAATTCTACTAAACCGGAACAATTCTACTAAACCGGACTACAAATAATCGGACCGAGACGAGAAACATGGTTTCTTCTGGTTTGGCTGGAAAATGTTACTAAAACTTTCGAGTAACAAAAACCCCAAATTGTTTTTCTTTTTCACTTCAAAGATATCTATTCAAGACTTATTAATGAATTGGTATGATTAATCAAATTCAAAAGACAAGCAAATGTTCCAACAGATTCCAAAATCTTTAGGAAAAGGACCAAAATGCCAATTTTATTCCTTTGGTGATTGAAAGGTTAAAACTGAAGAGGATAAAGAAACTAAGAGTATGATTAAGGTTTTTAGGTACCAGTGAAGCAAAAAAATAAATTATCTGGACTAAAAATGGAAGAGACTGGCTTTCAATCGTAATCATACTGTATTCTTTCTCTATCTCTCTCAGTTGCAGAAATTGAGTTTCTTCATGACTTTGGCATATGCTGGTGGTACTAATCCAGGCTGTCTCAATCTACGCTTCGATTTCTTTGACTGCATCAGTTAACAACACAAATTCATTATCCTCAACACTTTATTGACCTGACCCAGGGAATGGTGAAGAGATCAAACAGCTGAATTGGTATTGTAAATACAACTAGCGCCTATTACCTATCTATCTAGCTAAACCAGGACGCAATAAAAGGATCTAAGTTCAAACTACTTCCATCACAATTTACTTTCACTATCACCAGAGCTCAGCTAGCTGTGGTAATTTCTGATCAGTTTAGAAACCTAGTTATTATATCATACTGTTTCCCCTGAGGCGTCTGGCCATAGAATGAATAAAATCAGAGATTTATATTATAGAATGAGGAATCAGGTGTTGTTACCTTCAAGTGCGCGTTGTGGCGCTTTCCCTCTTTCCAGCGACGGATGGTACCATCATTTAGTGGTTTAAACCTGTCTTTGAATGACCTGCGATATAGATTCAACCCAAACTAGTTACTTTTTGAGAGAAACACACAACATACTACTTAAAAAAGATTTGTTGGTAATCTTGGAATCACAACGTACGAATAAAACTTTATCTTGACTTTCTTGACTTTTGATGTGATTGGAGTCCTTGGTCTCCACTTCTTCTTCCATTTTGCCATTTTTTCCTTGGAAGTGATATTTCTTACTTGAACAAACTGAACGCAAGAGATTGGATCATCATAGATAAGATAATCAATCAGATATGAACTGATGTTGCATAGAAGGAGAAACATAGGATTTTATTTAAGATTCAAGCAACACTCGACAAACCCCAAACAGGTCCAGTTTTCAAACATAAGTGTACATGGCTTTAAGTGATGCTGCAAGAGCTACTTAACATTCTATGAAAAAAAGGATCATCCATTTCTCTAATTCAGAAAACCCGTAATTAGAGCCAGGACAATGTTTCATTCCAATGATTAAACAAGGGACACAAAATTCAAGAGCTATACACCATAAATTTGAATGCTCAGATTCCAAAGTACACATATATGTATAATATGAGCTTGAGTAAGCTTACACTTGCTAGTGATATAAACACAAGCACCCACTTGTATCAGTTGGGGTATAAATCCACATAGTAACAAGTCGAAGAAGCTGCTTAACATTCTATGAATATATCAATCCCTTTCCCATTTGTAAAATTCAAATCACAATCTAAGCCAGGATGATTCTGTTTCTAATGATCAAACAAGTAAAGAGCTTCACACAACAAATTCAAAAGTAAACTATCTAGCTGCTCAGATCCTGTACCCCTCCAAATTTTCTCAATCAACAGAGATATCATCCTAATCTAATCGAAACGACTTCACTTTCTCGCGAAGCAAAAAAAAAAAAAAAAGCTTAACAAAAATTGCGGAAACTTACGTGATGAGGAACAAAGGTAGAACCCATAGAGCTAACATTGAACGGAGGAGAGACTCCGGCGGCGGGAACGAAGCTCCATTTGGTCGTATTGGCGAAACCTAGGGTTGTTAAGTGACGGCTCGGGGAAGGAGAATGGTGAATGAGACGGTGAGGTGCACCGATAAAAGCGAGATTCCGATTAGATTGGATGGAAATGGAACGTAGCTTAGTGCAAAACCTCTGCATTGTCGTCTCCAAGGGATGACAATTTTTCCGATAAATCTCGATTGCAAAGAGAAGGAAAGCTTTGGGGTTTTTGTGAAATGGTTTCAGAGTGTTTGGGTGTGAAGATAACTCTATTCTCTTTGCTTTATAAAATTATCCCAAACACATTTATTTTTTAATCTTGTCTTTTACAGACTTACATCAACAAGATTGATTACAAGAAGTTGTGTTTAGTAGGCTAATTAGCTACATAGTATGCCATATTATTTATAAATTACAGTATATGTTTAAAGGTTTTTTTTTAACAGAAAATTAAATGAAATAGAAAAGCAGTCTTTTTTTTTTACAAAAATTTGTAAAGCTTGTTTTGAGTATAGTAATTTTGAATGAAAATGAGCCAGAGATGAAACTATCTATTATGTTTTTTTCTTCCCACACCTCATAGTATATGTAAAGTGTGTCATATTTAAAATTAATATTTCCACAGCTCTTTGTTGGTGGAGATGATATGATCCAAATGGAGAAATCAATAACCACATAACATTATATTGCTAAATTACACATAAAAATGAACACTACAATATAAAAAGACGCGAGATTTGGTAAAAACCAGTTAAAAATCCATTCGACCAATCATTAAAATTTTAAAGAAAAATACTATTTCAGTTAATTATTAAACTACTAAAAAGAACGTTTTTCAATCAATTATTAAACTACCAAAAAACGATTTTCCGATCAATTATTAAACTACTAAAAAGAACGGTCATTTGATCATTTGCATGTTTTACAATGAAGCGGAAATTTTTATTACAAATACAGAAAATTTTAATTTTTAAGTAGCTAGCCTAAACAGAACTTCAACACAATTCAGAGAAATTTGGTTTAAACAAAATCCTTAAAATTATCCAACAAAATATATTTACATCTGTACATGTGGGTGGGGGTGATCAAACAAAATTGAACAAAGGTAAAAAAAAAAAAAGTAATTTATAAACTTGGGCCTTGGTAAGTAAATAGAATTGGGCCTTACCCATGAGTAGTTAAGTTTTTTTGTTATTTGTTTTTTTTTTTAAACCCTAAAAAGAAATCGTTTAGTTGAAATCGCCGTTTTTACCAAACCAACGATCGGAAAAAAACCTAAAAGACAGATCTGTCGAGATAAGCCAAGCTTCAATTAATTCGTGTTATTAAAGAAGAAGAAGAAGAAGACGAAGACCAATTCAATTTTGGTCTTAATTTTGTCTGAATGACATATCTTTAATTTCGTAGAAAGAATGACGAACAGCAGCTCGTCATCTAAGAAACAGGCTCAAGATCAGCCTGAAACTAGTGAACCAACTCTCAAATCTCTCAAAGCCAAGATGACTAAATCCGACGAAAAGGTTCGTCTTTTTTTTATTATTCAATCGTATTCAACATTAACCCACAAGAGTAATTTGCTTAGTTTTGTTTTCTAAGCTCTTGAATTTTCAAAATTGGTTGTGATCAAAAGCGTAACTTACTTAAAAATCTCTCCTTTATTTTTGGTTTGATCAGCAGAAGAAGCTTAAAGACATTGAAATAAGCGTTCCAATTGTGTATGGTAACGTTGCATTTTGGCTTGGCAAGAAGGCTAGTGAGTAAGTATCTCTCAGAGTTTAACAATTGCAGTTTTTGGGTTTATAGATTACTATTAGTGGCGCAAAGTTTGAATTTTTCATGAGGAAAGTTAAAAAGTTCCTATTTTTACAATACAGTTAAAAAAGAGATAGACGTTTACTTAAATTCCCATTAAGGTGCATTGGTTTGTTGTTAGCGTTTTACTTCTTTTTGAAAAGTTAGTAAGAAGAAACTTGAAAAGGTTAATTTTTTGACAAGACCCTTAAAAAAAGTGTTTGTTTTCATATGATTTTCCTTGAAGTTGTGCCTTTTTTAAAAATGTTTCTGCAGGTATCAATCTCACAAGTGGGCTGTATATGTTCGTGGAGCAACGAATGAAGATATAAGTGTTGTAGTAAAGAAAGTGGTATTTCAGCTTCATTCTAGTTTCAATAACCCGACTAGAGTTGTCGAGGAGCCTCCATTCGAGGTATCGGAATCTGGTTGGGGAGAATTCGAGATTGCAATGACATTGCATTTCCACAGTGATGTCTGCGACAAGCCTTTGAGTTTGTAAGTCTCCATTAAATAGCTCTTTGTTAGTCGAATTTTGCGAGCGATTAATGGAGAGTATACTTATGAGTTATAGTTTTCTCTTTTGGGTTCTCAACACAACAGATATCATCATTTAAAGTTATACCCAGAAGATGAATCAGGTCCTTTGACAATGAAGAAGCCTGTGGTTGTGGAATCTTACGACGAGATTGTGTTTCCTGATCCTTCAGAAAGTTTTCTAGCAAGGGTTCAGAATCATCCGGCTTTGACGTTTCCAAGATTACCCTCTGGTTACAACTTGCCTGCTCCTAGTATGATCTTCTCATCTAAGCTTCTTGCATTCTCTTAGTTTAGTTGATCATTTCCATTAAATGTCATCTCACACAACAAACTCTATGCTTAGTGCAAGTCGATGACACCGGCAAAAAGAAGAGAGGTGATACGAAAGATCATAGTTTGGGACAGTGGTTCATGAGTTTCTCTGAAGCAGATGAGTTATTACAGCTCGCTGCTGCTCGTCAACAGGTAACTTGAAAACATTTTACTGTATTTTTCTTAATTTTGATAAGAATTCAGACTATTTTACTCGTGTATGTGTTGTTTGATTTTGAATTTGTTTCTTGCTGGAATAGGTTCAAGCACATATTGCGAAACTGAGGCGACAAATAAGTTTGCTAGAGGGACAGAATCAGACAATTAAAACAGGGACAGACCTGTGAATTCTGATTCTGTAGCCATTATCCTTTGAGTGGGAGAGATTGGCTTGTTGTATCTTAATTGTGTATTAGCATAGATTTCCATTTTTTCTCTTGTATGAATAAACACAAAAAGTGGTGACTAGTCCAAATTTGTTATTAGAGGCTCTCCTCTGTTCCAGTCTCGTAAATTGCCTTTTTGTTTCGATTCAACTTTTATTGACTGATCAATGAGACTGCAACTTCAAAAAAGAGAACTCTTCAAGATTCATTGAAAATGCATCCAAATTCTCGGAATTTTGTATCACTCTTATTACAAACAAAGAACAAGAATCCTATAATCCACTATTTATTTTCAAAATTGAGTTGCTTTGTTATTAAGAAACTGTGTACTTCATGCTTCACCACTACAACGTACTCACATCCTCTGAACTACCACCATGTTCAACAAACGTGGAAAACTAAGAGAGCTTTGTTAGTACCGAAAAGATAAAAGTGCCTTCACAAATGACTTTAAAAGTCCTCAGTCTAAACAACTTCAGGAGAGCACGAGCGTTCAATCGAAGCTGATCACAGCTTTAATTCATCCGAGCCATAAGAGGCTCTCCTCTGTTCCAGTCTCATAAATTATCTTTTGTATCAATTAGAACGTTTTTTTTTAACTGATCAGTGAGACTGCAACTTCAAAAGAGAACTCTACAAGATTCATTTTGAAAGATTTCAAATTCTCAGAATTTTGTACCACTCTTATTAGTTATTACGAACTGGCAAACAAAGAACAATTGAACACGAATTCTATAATGTACTCTAACCGTTAACGACAGATCTCATTAACCCAAGATTCAAGTATGCATTCAGCAAACTGAGAATTCTACAAGTATCTGGTGAAAACACTCCAGCAAATCAATATATCAGCTCTTGCTACTGAAGAAAAACATGAATTAGAACTAAAGTTGACCCTGCAAAGAGAAAACAAGAACTAAAGCTGTAATGTGCTATGGGAAGCTCATGATCATGGACAACAAAAGGAACTTGTTACCTCTCAAGCAGCCTTCTCTTCCTTGTTCATCGCAAGCATAACTCTCTTCAAGATGGTTTCAATAGGCTGGTGAGCATTCTCAACCGATTTGGAGATGGCTTGCCACTTCTCACCATGCTTCGGCTCAGAAGCTACACACTTCGCAATGACTTCCTTCTGGTTCTCCTCAGAACCATGTTGATGTTCAAATTTGTAGTACAAAGCCCAGAAATCGCCAATATCTGGGGAAAGGGTAACAGCCCGTTTAAACCATGATCTGGCTTTCTCCACCTTCTTGTCTTGCCAAAAGAGCTTGGCAACAGCAGCAGTGACATGAGGGTCGTTATCACACTTCTTCATAGCATCCATACTCTTTGTTTTCCGGCGAGGACGTGGCGCCATCTCGATGTCTGCCGCCCAGAGGATACCACTATTGGGACACTCTTGCAGAGCCTTTGACATCAAGTGTTCTGCTTCTTTCTTGTTGTCATGCCTCAGTTCGGCACGAATAGCAGCTAACCATAGCTCAGCCGCCCCAGGATTCCTCTTCCTGGCCGTGGTGAGAATAGCTCGAGCTTTGTTCAGCCCATTCACTTGCTCTTCAAGATTAGCGAGCGAGAGCCACAGAGGTACGCAGTGGGGACAGTGCTTCAAACCAGAGCCATAAGCTTTCCTCGCCTGTTCCAGATGCTTGAACCGTTCCTCAAGCTGCCCAAGCATCAACCAAAGCTTGAAGAAAGTTGGGAATTGCTTCAAGCCTTCATCAAGCAATCTCCTCTCCTCCTCTACGTTGCCAAGTTCTCTCTCAACAATGGCTGATTTCATCCAGACCCTCTCAGTCCCTCCTCTTTCCCTTGCTTTTGCAAGAAGCATTCTCGCCCTCTCTGGCTCCTTGTTCTCAAACTCAAGCTTGAAAGCAGCAAGCCAGATTTCTTCAGAGTTTGGAATTGCAGCATAAGCCTCTTGTAGAATAGCACGGGCTGCTGGAACATCTCCAGCAAGCCACTTCTCTTTGGCACCCATGAGCCAGAGAACCTCAGCCTGAGGGACATATGTCACAGCCTTACGCAACAAGGCATCAAGAGACTCCCTACTCCCGTGGCTCTTCTCAAGCTGTGCCGCTTTAAGCCAGATACTCTTCTTGGTCAAGAATACGGTAAGAGCATGGGCGTATATTGCTCTTGCAGTCTCAATGGAACCCCTCTTCTTGCACTCGTCTGCATCAGCAACCCAAGTTCTCTTTCTATCCTCTTCTTCGACTCCAATACCGATTGTATTCTTAATAATCGCCTGGCATGTTGCGACAGACCCAGCTCTCTCAGAAGCCTCAGCCTCATTCATCCAATTTTCTCGGTCAATAACAACTCCTTCTCTCTGCAGAGTCTTTATACCCCTATCAATAATCTTTCCCACCATAGCCGTGTTCCCATTAGCTTCCTCTAGCTTAGCAGCAGTGATCCAGATTGCAGGCTCCTTCGGGAGCTTCTCTCTTGCTTTATTCAACACCTTCTTTGACTCGGCATATGTTTCGAGCCTCGCAAGTGCCACCCATAGCTCTAGATGTAAAGGGCAGCACTCCACAGCCCTGTGAAGCAAAACCCTTGCATCTCCTTCATTAGCCAACTCAACAACAGCCTTCCATAGCCTTACCGAGTCTGGAATATGCTCCAGTCCCTTTCTCAATACCCTACTCTTGTTCTCCTCATCACGCTCCAGCTTTGCAGCCTCCAGCCATAGCTTCACTGAATTGGGTATCAGCTTAACTCCCTTTGCAATAACCGCCTTGGCATCTTCTGGAGTGGCTAACCTACAAGCTTCAAGCCAAACATCCTCATTTTTGGGGCACTCTTCACAGCCCCTCTGAATTTGAAGCCTAGCTACTTTAATCTTATCATCCATTTCCTCCACTCTAGCAGCAGCGATCCAACCGTTTGGATTCTTTGGATTAGACTGGGTTAGACTCTTGTATAACAACCTAGCTCTGTTGCGATCGTATATCTCTTCATCAGTGGTTCTTTTCATACTCTTCAAGTCAGTTAAGTAGCCTTTAGGGTCCACAACAGTTTGCCCCGAAACTGAATCAGATAACCTATCAAGCTTCAGAGACAACACCGTACCTCTTCCCTCACCTACAGCAGTCAAGTCTGTCACAGGAGTCTGCCCCCATGGTGTCTCTGACCCACCAGCTGCTCTGCTCTTCGGGTCTAAGGCCATGACGAGCTCCTTTTCCTTCTTCGCCTTTTCCAAAAGCGTGTCAGGAATAGGCACAAAGCTCTCAAACTTCTTCTTCTTGTTCCGCAACGAGTAATCCCCAATCTCAGGAATACTATCCCATTCATCTGCAGACAAAGTGTGTAGTTTCCTCTTCAAATCCGCAAACTGCTCAGTAATCTTAGGGTTCGAAGCTCTGTATTTCTCGATTTCTTCCTTGAGCTTCGCTTCTCTCCGGTCTTTCCTCCTAGAATCCATCCTCTGGTCAATAGACTCCCAGATTGCATCAGCCTCTTTGTCATCCTCATCGTACTCGGCATTGGAGAACAAACCAGCATCATTCCCTTCAAATTCATCAAACTTCTGATGCTCATCGTACCCTTTCTCCTCAGGATCATCATCATCTTCCGCCTCACTTGGTTTCCCTGCCCCACGACCTACACCTGGAGCAGCCGCTGTAGCCACAGCAGAACGATCAGGTAGATCCGGAGCCGCACGAGCAGGACCAATATCAGACCGAGTGGTAAACCCCGTAGCACCACGACCCAAACCGGCTACATAATTCGATGGAGGTTTGGAATTGAGGAACTCGAGACGAGGCTTAGGCGGAGCCATTCCTTGCATACCACCCAAAAGCGGGACATGGATAATCAAAGTAGAGAAACGAGAAACACCGAGATCGGATAATAAGATAGAATCAGAATCCTTAGAATCTAACAACACACGGCTAGGGTTCCGGAAACGGAGCGAGGAACGAACCAATGACGGTGGAATATCGCTGCGTTGATGGACCAATTGTTCGAAGCCGGAGATTGTGGTTGAATTAGGGTTCAGATCGAACGAGAGCGTCTTCCCGTTGGGAATTGAGAGAAACACCATCGTAAGCTACCGTTCGTGGAAGAACCTCTGTTGCAGCAGAAATCGATTTGACGTCGGAATCAAGAGTTTTGGTTTCAACAAGCTAAGACAACGAAGAAGGGAACGTCTGTTTTGATGTCAAGAATCGATAGGAGAAGAAACGAGTTCGATTTCTATAGAAGGGAAGAGGAAAAAAAGAAGAAGGGCTAGGTTTATAATACAAATACAAACCGATATGGAAAGGAGTGGGCCTTCGTGGGCTTCGAATTGGCTGACTCTTTAAGCCCAATTACCTTTTTATTTTCTAGTAAGCGTTTGGTGAGTGGAACTGCTACTCCTACGTATGAAGATTCGATCGTTGAACCAAAGCCACGGAGGTGAGAACGAGTCTTGATCCCACGTCTATTGAATCAAAGCACTTAAAGAACAATGTTACAATCTCATGTCTTGATCTCTATATTATATATATGAAAACCCCTAAGCAATTTTCCTAATTCATATAGGAAATATAACTTATTCAATACTTCCTAATCCTAATCTATATCTCCGTAGGATTATTTTTAGCTTGCACCTCAAGCTATCTTTATTTTCTTCAAGATTAAGTCAACAACGTCTTGTACTTTACATTTCTTACAAAATTATAAGACGTGTAGTAATCAATCAAAGATTATATGATCAATGATGTCTTAAATATTAGCGTGTTAATTTGCAGACCGTTTCACATCTACTATGCTCCTTCAATTAACATTGCTATGCTCTCGTTAAAAGGGAACTCAATGAACTCAACTACATCAATATGTTTGTGTTTATTTAGTATTGTCACCTAAGAAGCCGAAAACCCGTTTCTTGAAATTGCGGGCTAAATCCATGATTTCAGTATTCCTCATTCTCTCAACATTGTTTTCAGGTTGTCCAAGTAAGTTTCTTTTCCGGGATAATCGTGTGGCTGCATCAACCGTTAGACTCGCCATGTCTCTGCTGTTTGTAAGTTCCTTTAGAACAGTAGCAGAGCTTGACAAGCCAGAGACAAGTCTGTTTAGTAATATCAGTATCTCTCTCATCAATATTGTCCTGTGCCAGTAAAACAAATAGATCTAGTTTAAAAGTCAGACAGATTAAACGTTTAGTTGTAAATCGCCGGCATTAATATACCTTGCTTTGAAAATTTCCGATTCTGGATGAGAGTCTGTTGATTCAGAGACTATCTCTGCTACCAAAAGGTGCAGTATCAGCATTAAAAAGTTGGTGTCTTGAGGAAGCTTGTGACTTGAGAGTAGTTCATAGCCAGAGTTTCCTGAAGAAGCAGCTAAAGCCAAGATATTTATTACATCCCGACAGAGTTCCAGATCCTGAAATTCAATTCAGTCCCAAAGCTGTGTTAATAATCCAATTGCGCTAAACTTCTCGACAAGAGGGGTTTTCCTACGTGTTTTTTTATGTTTTGTTACCTCTGATGTCTTTCTGGGAAAAGTCAAACAATCTGCTAAACCTTCGAAGATCTTACCAAATGCTTCCAAAGAAAAGAGATTTCCTTCACTGTCGTTTTCAGTATCTGAGGGCTTCTTTTCCCCATGGACAGAATCAAACCTATCGTACAGTTTAGGGCCTTTGAACCGGATAAAATAGTTTAGAGGAGAAAGAAGAGCATTTTTCATCATAAACTAATACATCTCAGACTTATTTGGCAGTAAACAGAGTGATTAAACTGAATACTTACAGTTGAGTAGCAAGTAAAAAAGACGAACAGCTTCTTTCCGCACATGTAAGCCAGCTTCTTTTCTTAAATGTAATGAAATGCTCTCTAAAACTTCCTTGGAGACAAAACTGGTCAAAGAAAATATTAACATTATATGATATCAGATGTTAGTAAAACCAGAAAAAAGAAAATGGTAAAATGGTTATGAGTGTTTACGCTTCTCTCTCAGTATAAGCATCAGTGCTCAAAGCGATTGTGTTCATTATTGACAATGCTTCTAGTTTCACATCCTCTTCAGTTCTTCTGCTAGCAATTTGATTCATCAAGACAAACAGAGAATAGCTGGCTTCAGTTCTGTATTCAACACCACATATATGTTCCAACAGCACATGTAGTACACGCAGAGATCTATGAACAAGAACGGCCTGCAGAACAGATGAATGAATAAACTCACCAAAAACGAAAATAAAAAGACCAGGAAACTACAACTTGCAGATAAAAGCTTCGAATCTAAATCTGACTTACATTTTCCCCTTTGCAAAGATCAAGTAGTGGTTCAACCAAGTTCTTCAAATTTACAGACCCAAAACTGATCTACACCATAGGCAATTCAATTATATAGTGTAACCAATGACTTATATACCAGCAAGTATAATGTTTGAACGAAAAGCCACACCTTTGTTATTGCAGAGTATAAGTTACAGACTTTTTCAGATTCTAAGTCTTGAGAAGATTGCATATTTGACGAGGTTTTGGCGCCATCTTGGGGAGGCGTACTGCCTTTCATATAACTAAAGAGAATCTGGAGATCTGCTGAACAAGCCAGTAGCAACTCTGAGACTAGATTTCTCCTTTGATGATTTGAGTTGCACCAGATATCCCGCAGTTTCTTTGAAAGATCCGCCTGAAGACCAGTGGTCTTGAAGCCTAACTTGTGCCAAAGCAAAGCAAAGATAATGAATAGAAAAAACCAAAAAAGTTTGGAAAAATCAATCTATACAACAGAAGTTCAAAACGTTCCATCTTATTATTGCCAATATCAACATTAACATACTACTTTTGTCATCTAACCCTGTCGTAGAGTCGAGTTCTCGAATGTTTACTGGAGAAGTTGCAACATCTTCTGGTTCCCTGTTTCACAAGACTTCTTCATTAGACCATTATTGGTGATTTGCTACTCAAATAAAAGTACCAAGCTAATAAACGGTTAATTCTAATCATGCACCACAGATTTTTAATTCTCTAAAGAGTTGATTATAAAAAGTATCCTAAACTGCTTGCTACCCGAGTTCTCAACATGATCAAAAAATTCACCTTCCAGAATAGTTCACTATAAATTTTTGTAAAAATTATTAGAATGCAAAACGAAAACTAAAATTGGTTGAACCCGAGATACTTAAAAGACAATGCTAAGTAAGAGTACATATACAAGTTCTTTGTAATAGAAGGAAAAGACAATATTCACTCACAAGTTTGTTCCCTTAGAAGCATGAACTGCAGAAGAACACTGCCCTTTATTATCAGCACACAAGCTTTTGGACTCTGTTTCTTTGTTTTCCCCCTCTTTAAGCTGAGAATAATCTTGTTCCTGGAACAATTAAAGACATCTTTCAGATTCTACAGATTGAAATAGTAAATTCAAATAAACTAAAAACTTGAAGATATTGAACAAACCAAATCTAGCAATTGCTTCGAGACACGCTCCAGCTCCTTCTGTTTATCATTTACCAAAAGAACAACATGAGAACAATACACACACCAGAGGTATCTTCGTGTTCACATAATAACAAAACCCTAACCTTTAAGCGATCAATTTCAAGATCCTTCTCACTATCGCAGCGACGATTCGAAAAAGTCGGTTTAGCAGCAGTAATCGTAGATGTAGAGTAATCCATTAACGCGTCACTGAAAGCTCCTACTCTTTGAGAGAGTTCTCTAGGTGGAGAGTAATTGAAGAAAGGATCATGAACTGGAATTTGTTTCCGTTGCCCCGCGGAGTATTGTAACTGCATAGGGTGAGACAAAGACGATGAAACCGTCGTCGTCGTCATCTCCGGAGCTGGTACTGACACTGGAATTGCCGGAGGAGGTTGTCCGCGAAGCCTATCGGCAATAACGGTGGCTTCGAGATACTCCACGCATTGGAGAAAATCGTCATCCGCGTCTGACTCATCCATTTCTCTCTCTCTCTCTCTCTCTCTCTCTCTCTGAAAGCGAGTGAGTGGGAAAAGTGAAGAAATCGAAATCGCCATTAGTGGGTAGTGGCAGGAGAAATGACCCGACCCGGAAATTTAAAACCGGAACCACTGATTTGGATAGTTATTTAATCCGGTTATTTCATAAAACCCCGATTTAAACCAGAGAAAAACCAGGGATCCAGAAAACATTCCGGTTCGATTTCTGTTCTGGTTTTCAAAATATAGTCCGGTCACAACACTGTTGTAGTTTTCAATTACATAAATATCTCGTAAAACTCATAAATTTCACTTTGGCCCCGGAATTTTTCTTTCCTTTTAGAATTAAAGGGATTATCTGATTAGCAAAGAGCACAAAGGAAGAAGGGTTTCTAGGATTTTTTAACACAGAGCTGAATTTATAAAGATCGAGAGAATCCGCAAAACTCGTTTGTTTCTTCCTTCCGTCTTCGTCTTCGTCTCTGCTTCCGCCATGGCTGCTCTTCAATACTTGGAATCTCTGAAAAATGCGCATCCAGAGCTCGGTGAATGGTACAATTCCCTTGCAGATCTGTATCAGAAAAAGCTCTGGCATCAACTCACCCTTAAGCTCGAGCAGTTCATCGCTCTCGCTGTGTTCCAGGTCTTTTTTCTTCTCCTCCGTAATAGTGATTGGTTTCCATATCTATCCGGGTTTAGTTGTGCGGCTCCTTGGAGATTTAAGGTTCATAGATCTCGAGAAATTTAGTAGAATTTTTGTATTTACTTCAGACTAACAGTAGTTAGAGGTTCGTTTGGATGATGATTAGGGTTTTTTACGAGTTAGGGTCTTGGAAGAAAGTAGGTTTTAGGGTTTATAGTTTTGCTGAAATTCGTGAGTTTTCATGTTTTGCTATCTATCAGTTTCGATTTCTTGCAAGTTCGTGTGTTGATCTTAACTTGTGTCCTTGTTATAATGTAAATTCTTGTATTTCAGGCTGGTGATGCTTTAATTCAGTTCTATCACAATTTCATCACTGACTTTGAGACGAAGATCAATCTTCTGAAGCTTGCACATTTTGCTGTGGTGGTCTCCCGACAGTACTCTGAGAAAGAAGCCGCGGTTAGCTATCTTGAGAGCGTGATTGAGAAACTGAGAGCTACTAAAGAGCCTCGGATAACTGAACCAATCATATATATAGAAACACAAAAAGCCCTATTCAAGCTTGAGCAAGGTGATCAGAAGGAGTGTAAGAAAGTCTTGGACGATGGAAAGAGCTCTCTTGATAGTATGACTGACATTGATCCATCGGTCTATGCCAACTTCTATTGGGTGTCTTCTCAGTACCACAAGTTCCGTCAAGAGTTTTCTGATTTCTACAAAAGTGCTCTACTTTATCTTGCATATACATCTGTGGAGGACCTCTCAGAATCGTTTAAGCTCGTATGTCCCTGTAATTTTACGTATCTTGTTCTAGTGTTTGGTTACCAAGATTCCTTTTAGCTAGTGGATGATAAAATTGGTGAGATTTAGAGGAAACCAGGGAAAAAAAAATGCTGACTACTCTAGCTTACCTGTACCCACTTATCAAATTCCTAATATCAGATCATTTTTGTTTCTATCAGGATTTGGCTTTCGATTTGTCACTTTCAGCTCTACTTGGAGAAAACATCTACAACTTTGGGGAACTGTTAGCCCATCCCATTGTAAGTTATCCTTCATCCGTGATATAAGCTATTGCAAAGTTTTCCGGTGGAAATAATACGTTTCTTATTGACCTTTCGTTGCTCGGGGTTGGCCAAAGTGTTTGTGAACGCAGGGAAAGCTTATACCTCTAATGTTATAGTTCTGCTTAGAATTGTAAATGGCTATCTTACATGTAGTATTACTCTGATGACAGTTGAAAAGTCTCCTTGGAACAAATGTGGAATGGCTTTACCACATTCTCCAGGCATTCAACCATGGTGATTTAGTTCAGTATCAAGAACTATGCCGTGTCCACAACGCATCCTTGATTGCCCAACCAGCACTGGTTGAGAACGAGAAGAAGCTACTGGAAAAGATCAACATTCTCTGCCTTATTGAGATCATCTTCAGGTAACTTCATTCTAGGTAGTAGTATCTCACACCATATCATATAAATTAAACATCTTATGCTAATTTTGTTACATTTCAACTGTACTTTAGCCGACCTGCTGAAGACAGGACCATTCCTTTGAGTGTCATTGCTGAGCGAACTAAACTTTCCATTGAAGATGTTGAGCACCTTCTCATGAAGAGTCTTTCTGTAAGTATTAGTATCTCCTTGCATCTTTCTTTTCAACCCCCCCCCCCCCCCCACAATATGCAGCTACCAGTTTAGGTTTATGTATCTGCAATTGTTTTCATATTAGGTAATTTAGTCAGAGAATTCAAATATTTGTAACTAGTTTCGTTCCTGACTTGTACATTGAAATAGAATGGTTTTGTTTGCTTATGAATCTATGGGATTTAAAGTGGAAAATGAATGATTTAGGTGCATCTGATTGAGGGCATCATAGACCAAGTGAATGGAACAGTTTACGTCTCATGGGCTCAACCAAGAGTACTAGGGATTCCACAGATCAAGGCCTTGAGAGATCAATTGGACAATTGGGTCGACAAAGTTCACACCACTTTGCTATCTGTTGAAGCCGAGACACCAGATCTTGTTGCAGCATAAGAAAAACCTTCTTCGTCCTCTTTTCAACTACTGAATGTAACACCATCTTCTCTGGGATCAAAATTCAAGTTCTTTTAAATTTCAGTGGTAGAAATTACATTTACTTTTGAACCCTCTGGCTCCCATAAGGATTTTGATTTTCTCTCATGTTCCATTCCAAGATGCCTGAAAATTTTCCTTAATACATGTCCTTAGACTCAAAGTCAACTTAAAACGATCTGAAGGAACTGTACTCAGTCGAAACTTTAATTGGGTTCTATTGGGCTTATGGCCCATTAACCTCGATCTATGGTACCCGTTTCTTCTTCAATGTTCTCCTCGTTTACCAAAAGCAGAGCATATCGATATTGACTATTGACTGAGACTCAAATCATCTTCCAGAGTCGAGTCAAGTGAGCCGGTAAAATTAGGGATTTGTGTGATTCGCTCTCCATCTCTCTCGTATGGATTTGCGCGGCGTCCCTCTCTCGAAACGACCATCTCCGATTGCGTCACTTCCAGATGAAATCGTCGTCGATATAATCGCGCGTGTATCAAGATCCCATTACCCAACAATCTCTCTCGTTTCACGACGTTTCCGATCAATCATAGCGTCGCCGGAGCTATACATGAGACGATCCTTATTACGCTGTACCGAACACTGTCTCTACGCCCTCCTCTATAACCCTAAAACCTGTGATTACCGTTGGTACATTCTCCGCCGCAACGGCTTTGTCCTTGTCCCTCGTCTTCCTCGTATGCCTGCCCATGGAATCTTCGTCGCGGTGGGTTCCAAGATATACGTTTTGGGTGGAGGTTACGATTCCAGTGCGACGTCAAGTGTCTTAACCATCGACTGTACGTCTCATACCTGGCAGCCTATCTCTACCATCCCCAAGCCTATGGGTAATACTGTCGCTGGCACAATCAACGGGAAGATTTACATAATCGGTGAGTGTGAATTGCCCGGTTGTATGGTTTCGAAGAGAGTTGTTATGGTGTTGAATACAGATAAGCAAATGTGGGAGCCTGAGATGACTAATCCTGGTGTAGAGATAGGTCAATTGTGGTCTGGTTGTGTGGTAATGGAAGGGAAGATATACATGAGGGATTCGGAGAATAGCTTTGTTTACGAGCCGAAGGAGAGGAAATGGGAAATGGAAGAGATGTTGAATGATAAGAAGTGGGAGTATGCGTGTGTTGTTGATGATGTGTTGTATTACTATGATTGTCGCCATAACGTTTTGAGAGCGTATGATACAAAGCTCAAGGTTTGGGGAGTGGTTAGAGGTTTGGAAAGAACGGCCACGAATGGTCCTAGTTTGCCAACTTCTTCTTGGTGGTCGTATACCATGAGCTGCGGTGGCAAGCTGGTTGTGTTCTTGCCTAAAGAAAGAGACAGGAGAAACACAATACTAGGGGACAGGAGAAACACAACAGCAGGGATTTGGTGTGCGGAGATTTCAATCGAAAGACGCCAAGGTGGAGAGATTTGGGGTAAAGTTGAGTGGCGTGATACTGTGATTGATGGTGATTTTTTCTTTGTGAGATGTCTAGCTGTTACGGTTTGATCAATGCACAAAACTGAAGTTTGCTCTATAATTCCTAAAGGAGTAGTAGCCGGGACGAAAACAACAAGGGTTTGATTTGTGTGGAAATGGTATTAGAGTGATACACCCAAGGATGAGATATTTGGATTGAGTGGTGTGATGCTCTCATTCATGGTTGTTATCTCTTAACGTAAAGTCTAGGTATTAAGGTTTGATGAACAAACACTTCCTTACAACTTGTGATTTGTTATGAAAGTTATCACAATTTCGTATAACTTGTGATTTGTTTTCGTAATCCTAAAATTATATGTTGTGGTTGGAAGCTTGTTCCATCCTTTAATGTAAAAGTTAGAAGTATAATACTTACTCAAGTATTCAAGCATTTGCTTGATTCTTGCTGTGTGCATTAGGAGTTCTTTATTTAATATAACAAACGTCACTAGCCAGAGCTGTCTAGCTAAAATCTAATGATATTGTTTTCAAATGAAACCTCATCATACACTATCATTAACACTATTTGCTCATGTCATCTCTCCTAATAATAAATTATTTACTTTTACAACGTTTCAGTGTATGGAAATGAAATTATTGTAGATGTTTAGGAACTCATATATAAAAATCAGGATACTAAAACCATTATTATGTTCTTAAATTCAAAGTCGAATTTTTAGTGAATTATATACAATTGTTTCTAAAAAAAAAAAAGATGTACTATGATCTTATTTTATTCAACAGAAGTTATAATTATAAGAATCTCAAGAAGAACAGTTGTGATCGAAATGGCAGAAACCACATGGCTCATGAATCGTCTTGTCTGTACGATGATTCACTATTTTCTTATAAAAAGTCGATTCTATCATTATTGATCATAAAGTCTTTGGCCTATATATGAATATCGTTAGCGAATTTAAAACAAAAAACTATATACAAACCTTTAAAATGTTCAAACATACACATGGATTCAACTTCGCAGAACAAACAAATATTTCGAACTTTACACTAAGCAAGTATAAATTAGATTTTTCATTTTGTAGAAAGACCAACTCATATAGCTAGACTGTTGAATGCTGAGTATTATTCAACCTTCACTGATATGACTTTTACATATACAACATGCTACTATAAGTCTATAAACGATTAAGGAAAATTATGTCACAATATTTGAAACAATCTACCAAACGATACGTAAAATTATATCTAAACACATGCATTATCAAATTGATACGATTAGAACATTTTCTTATTAGGGTATTTGCATTACAAAGTGAGACCATACAATATAAATTTACATCCGGCTCACGTTAGGAAGCCAAGTTGCATAATCCAATAGATGCGACCAAAGACAAAATCCATAAGCCAAGAAACCAATTACTTAACAAGCAAACTCAAAACCTTGTTTAACATCAAGTATTGATTTCTCCTCTTTTCAAGAAACCAAATAATATAAAATTCAAGAAAGATATTACAAAGACATGTCGGGGATTTTATCCAATACAAAACCCAAACCGGGGAAACAAAACAAAATATCCCAACACTAGACCGGTCAATTAAAGAAAAATAAAAAATTGAACCGGCCGGTTAAGTAAAAATCAAGCTTCTAAAAAACCGGTCATCCTAAGAACGGAGTTCCGGTGACGGCTCAAGTCTCTTCCTTTGTGAGTACAAACCGAAAACGCTATTTGCTCTTTCATTCTTCTTTCGATTATTACATGTGGAGGAGTCTTTTCCTCCTCCTCTTCCTCCGCCGTCTCCCATCCCTTATACCGGAAACTATTCGTCGGAATCCTCACCGGAGATGTTTTCTCCAACCGTCTTGTAGTACTGATCATCTTCTCGTTGTTTCTAGTGTTAGATAGTTTAGTTTCTTTTGGTATTATAGTTTGGTCGGAAAATATAATGTCTGATTCTTGAAATTCTTCCGACATCATCGTAAAATATGAAAAGAGAAAAAAAAAGAATGTATTAAGAGATGAAATGATCAATGAGGATGGAGAAGAAATGAAATTTATATAGAGACACATATGGTGGCAATAGAGAATTATATGGTAAGATCTATACGTATAACGTGTATAAATGTACATGTATATATATATATATACTCGTACGTACATGTGTGTTTTTGTTTGAATACGTGTACGTATGTATAAAAGCAAATCTAGTAATAGCATATGATGATGTCATTGGGATATTCTTTAGGGTGAATACGTGGTAGCTTCATCAGATACTTCTTCATCACTTCAACAAAATTTCGTAGCCGCGTATCATTAAATTATTTTGATTTTATTCATTAATTTTTTACACTTTACCATAATTAATGAATTAGAATGTGTAAAATTGTTGAATTGACTAAATATGAATTGTCATTTTTTATTATAGAATTATGTCATATTTATTAAACCATTGAGACTAGTTCTGTCATCTTATTGAATTGACTAATTGATGAGAGAATCTTAATTATTAATGAATATCTTAAAATTGTTGAATTGACTAAACTAATTATTTTTTAATTATATTTGTGATTAATAACATCTTATTGGACCATTAGAGCTATTATCTGTCATTTTTGTTGAATAACAAAAAAATTCTAAAAAAAATCTTAATTTATTAATGAAGATCTTTAATTGTGGAATAGACTAAAACATATATTATTTATTTTATTATTTTATTTTGTAATAGCATCTTACTGAACCATTAAATCTAGCTATTTCCAGTTATTTTATATTTTATCAAATTACAAAAAAAAAAATGAGAACCTTAATTATGAAGATCTTAAAATTGTTGAATTGACTAAACATGTGTAGTATTATTTATTTTACTTATTAATTTTTTGATTATAATAACATATCTTAATTCTTATTGAATCATTGGAGCTATTTTCTGTCATTTTATCAAATTACATTTTTTTAAGAATCTTTATTTGTTAATGAAGACCTTAAAATTGTTGAATTGACAAAACATGAATGATTATTTCGTAATTTAATTTTGTTAATAATAAGATCATATTGAACCATGGAACTATTTTCTGTCATTTTTATTGAATGACAATTTTTTTTTGAGAATCTTCATTTATTAATGAAAATCTTAACAACTAATGAATTGAGTATCTCCAACAACAACAAAAATATCACAACAATGATTAGGAGAAATAAGCTGAGGTCGGTGTGTGAAGTAAAGCCACAAAACGCAATTACCAGAGCGGCGCGTCCGGAGGAAACGCATTACGCGTTTTCAACCTCAAACGTCACGCGTGTACGCGTTTACACGCTCAAAATCCAAATTCTATCCACTCCTAACCATACACGTGTAATGTTACACAGCTTTAGGGTTCGTCACTGCCACGTTTTTGTTTTCGTCCAACACAACACAACACAACACTCGCTTTCTGATGCGATTGCGTGGCGTCGTTAGTTAACAGACGAATCGTGCGAGGCAACTCGTGCTATGTACAAACTCATTAAACTGTTGTTGGCAAATTGTAACACGTACGATATCTTCAAGATTGAATAAAAGTTTCTTGGAATGTTGTTGAACTATATATATATGGATATCTTTTGAAACATGTCTACGTACATTACTTGGATCATTTTTGGCAGGTTCGTATATATGTTTTTAGCAAAACAAAATGCACATTGTATTGAAAACTTAACACGAGAGCTACAATTTTGCTATTATATATAACATGTATTAGAATTTTAGCTACTACTGCAACAACGAACACAAAAGTGAATAATGAGTCCGATACAAAATCAATATTAGAATAAATTAGATTGAAGAGCCTTGAAACCACATGCAGTTTAAACATGTTTTGAAACTTTAGGATAAATTTTGTAGATGAGCAAGTGTACACTAGAGCTATATATTAATAAATCCATTAGAAGTCCAAGAGAGTGTTCAATGAGAAGTTCATAAGGATTTGGGCAAGTAGAGATTCATATAAATTTGTGTTTAAAACATCAATGTAAAGTAACCTAAAGAGTTGCCTCTTTGAGAAACTCTTCTCTTTCTCGTTTTCGGTTTGAAATCAAATCTAAAGCCATTATTGTGTTTTTAATGACAATCTAAAGATCTTCTTTACTTGCACAAATAGGGTTTGATAAGCTATTTCATTTCAATCTCATTTTCTATATTTGTATCTAGCTTAATAAGCTCATTTGAACTTGAATCCTACTAGCTTTGGATTCTCTCTACACTAGAGAAATTATTATAAATTTTTATTTATTTCTTACTTATCCTAATAATAAATAGAAACCAGTAAAATCACCCTAAACCCTCAAAAAAAAAAAAGAGTCAAAACAACTAAAAACACCCTTATAATTAAATAAGAAAAACAAAACTACAATCAAACTAATGAAACTGCAATTGGACTTCTCACGACATGGTGTCCATCGCTCCAACTAAACCATCCAAACCGATATTGATTCCTCCGAGCCTCACCTGTGAACTCATATCTATCTGTCCTAAAAATGATGTTAAACCTTTTCTTCTGACCAATCCGATCAAAGACCAAAACATTTGGTTCAGCCATAACATTGACGCCAAAGGGCGGTTGAGCATTGAAGACATATACGCTTGTTGAGTTACTCGACCGTCCAACACATGTGACCGTCCTCGTAACGGTTACTGTCCCAATGAGATCAGGAATTGAGACTGACGGGTAGTTAAGGTTATAACCGGGAGGGATTTGGCTAGGACATCTGAATGTCGGATCAAGATTTGTTAAACCAACCGAGCAGCAATAGAGAAGGTAAGATCGGTATGATGCATCGTAGACTAAACCGGGAGATTGTGCTTTTGTTGGTCTAAAATGTCCTGACCCAAGCGCAAATGGGCTCGCTGGTGAACCATCAAAGTCTTGAATCGGTTCGTTGTCCTCGTTGGTCATCGAAGCTACGACAATACAAGTCACTAGTTTAGTTGTAAGACCATAATGTACCAAAAGTATGATCCAATAAAAGACCATTTCATTATTTAGACATTTAACCAATGTTTTCAAACTGAAAATGAATCAAAAACCGGATTGAATACTTCTAATAATCAAAGTTCGGTTTAGTTATTTTAACCCAGCTTAATAACCAGAAAGTTTTGTTACCACTACTTACCAGTGGTCATGAGGGCAGATCTTATAGCAGCACTACTCCATGTGGGATGCATGCTTTTGAGAAGGGCAATTGCACCAGCAACATGAGGACAAGACATAGATGTTCCTGAGTCAAGATTATAATCTATCACTCTTCGGTCTATCGAAGCTTTGCTCGCGGAATCTGCCCCGCTCCATGCAGCCAGTATATTCAGTCCCGGCGCGATGATATCCGGCTGTTATAAACCACAAAAATGTGTTATGTATTAGAGTTTTACAAAAATTGAAGTCACAAGAACAAAAGAGTTATTTACCTTAAGAATATTAGCATCTACCCAATTTGGGCCTCTACTAGAAAAACTAGTCATAAAAGGAGCCGGTTTATACGGGTAAACCGAATCTTGCGGTTGGTATCCATAAAGTATTGTTTCTGCTGGTTTGATGAAAGCCACCGGTTCATAATCATTGTACATGTAATCAAGAATCCTACCAACCGTAGATGAGAAAACCAAAGCAGTCGGTACGAAATGAGACACAACGTCGAACCCATCGCCTGCCCGAGAGTTTGCTAATATCATACCGACACCTCCGGCTCGTTTTACCTCAATACTTTTACCAATTGTTGAACGTGATGAACCGAAACCTCTCATACATAATATCACTTTACCTCTCGCAAGATCCGGTGAAAGTGAATTCGGTACACATTGCCTTCACCACCACAAAAACAAAAATAGTTAGTCCAAATAAATATTAAACTGTTTAATAAAAAGTAAAAAACTTACGATGCTTCTTCCCTTGTACAGCCGGGAACAGCTACGTCAAGAGAGTTGACTAGAGGAGCAAAGTTGTCCATCTTTAATGTCGTCAATGAGTCCGACTAGAAAATTAAATTAAAAACATTACTTTAACTTCATAATATACATGCATACGTTATTAATTCATAGAACTAAGCACAACCTTTAAATTTATATCAAAATATAGAAATATAATACAGTATATATATAGTCCAAATATAAACTCCAAACTTTAACTTATATTAGCCTTTTATATGTATATGGTTTAAGAATGATTAAGGTGTAACATTTTAGTGTTGAGTTTATTTATTACCTCGAATTGAAAGCCATCACCAAGTTCAAGACGACCAACGAAATACCGATCAAGACTACTAGCTCCGACGGTAATAATCCACGGAGCTGGATTCGACAGAGTTGCCCCATCCGGTCCATCGTTTCCAGCGCTAGCCGCAACCACAATATCTCTCTTAACCGCATGTAACGATCCGATCGCGATTCCATCTTCCGAATACGTATGCGGTTCAACCGCTCCAATCGAAATACTAATAACATTGACGCCATCAGCAATCGCGTCGTCAAACGCAGCCAACATATCTTCGTCAAAACAAGTGTTTGTGACGTATTTTTGCGCGTTTGGAACCGTCCAACAAGCTTTGTAAACGGCGAGACGAGCCAATGAGGCCCCGCCTGAAGCCGTTCCCCTTGCAATGCCGCCAAGTGCAGAAACGCCGTTTACTCTGCGGCCAACGGCGGTTGAAGCTGTGTGGGAACCATGTCCATCGGCGTCTCGTGGAGACAAGAAGTCTCTGTTAGCTTCGGCATTGAACTGTCCGTAATATCTCTCGTACCCTCTTGAGTAGTACCTTGCTCCGATAATTTTCCTATGATTAACGTCGATAAAATCGAAAATGATGATAAAGCATTATTAAGCATTTCTAAGATACATATTAATTACTCGATAGTCTACAAGTAAGAACCGTAAATGATTATTTTTTGTATTAAGCTAAATTAGTGTCCATGCATATTAGGACTAGTGTGCATATTTAAACTTATGTCAATCTTAAAATTTGTAAGTTCATTTGATCAAGTTTTAGTGATTTCATAACAAAAGTGGCTTCTTCGTATATTTGGTGAAATTGTTTCATGTTAAAAGGAAAAAAATGATAGAAAATTAGATATGTAGCTCATGAAATATATACTGTTAAATTGATTAAATTTAGTAATTTAATTATGAATATATTATCTGATTATGAAAGAGCTAAACAAGATTTTAATTGTTACCGATTACAGTGGGAAGAGTTGAACGCAACTCCGGTTTGGCAAATTCCTTTCCAAGATTCTGGAATTGGTCCCATTCCTTTGTCATCGAAGCTCCTTGACTCTGGCCACACCCCTTTAGTTTTTATTTTTGTATTTCCCCAAAGACATAAACAAATTTGTTACGCCAAATATACCATATTATATATTTAACTATAATTAACAACAAATTAGTTGACAAAAAAAAAATCAATAACGAATTGATACTATAACGATTTGAAATCCACCAACAAACTAAATTTTTTTAAACATTTTAGTAACTGAATTATCTCTTTTTATGGTTAAGAAAATATGAGTTTTGTTAAAAATTAAGTATGAACCATTTCTAATTTGTAAAATATATGACAAAAGCAATGATAATGGAAAACAACTTACCACTATCGATAACACCAACTATGACACCGTCGCCGTGTTTCGCCTTACTCAAAAACTTTCTTCCCACACGAAACCGGTCGTTCACATTGTATTTGTATGCATCAAGATAAAGTTCATCTTCATCCTTTAACCCTACAAACTCCCATGATCTTGTCGTATGGATCTTATACTTTCTTGGATTGCTCTTGAATACTGACACGACTCCTCTGAGTCCTATATGGAAAAAATGAACTATTAATATTGAGTTTTAAATATAACTCAATAGTCATAGGAAAACATAAACGTGGTTTGTTTAGCGTTTACGTACCTTTGAGTCTAGAGGCTTGGTCCGGTGTTAGCTCAGCCGCAAAGCCATTGATGCTATGTTTGTAGCTATACAATAGCGATGACTTGGCATCTTCTTCGGACTCTTTAACCGATTGAAGATAAGAGTGATGATGAGCTTCAATTTCATGGAAGGCTTTATCACCTTTATGCTCTCCAAAATAAACAATATACACCTACAAAAACCTCCCAAAAAAATTGTGAGGAGTTAACTTAAGAAACAATGAATTTGAATATTAAATTTGGGAACGATTTGGGATTTTAACAAGCACCATATATAATACTAACATGTTTCTCTTTAGTGCATGAAGCTAAGAGAGGAACGAGACATAGGAGAAGGGTGAGAAAAATTCGTCTCATGGCCTTAATTTTTTTTTTCCTTTCGGTTTGGCGAAATGTTACTGCCTAATGCTCCCATTAGGTATTTGATGGGTTATTTATAGTAGACAGACAAAAGAACAACAAATTTTTTAAGTACAACCAAATTAATTATAGAAGTTCGATGGTTTTTTCATAAGATAAATACTAGTTTATGTAATTAATTTTATCAAATGTTATGTATTCATCTTGAAAATCTGATTGTTTTAGATACTTTTATCGTACTAAATTATTTACATTGTATTAATCTATGGAGGAATATTCTAGGCATTTCGGTATAACAGTATTTAATAAAGAAAAATACATTGTCAACAACCAAAAAAGAGAAAAAAATTGTTAGGAGAATCTAGATACAAAATTTGATTGGATATAAATATAATGTTCATTATACGAAAAGGTTTTTAAAATACAACCCCAATATTATAGATTTATAGTTGTTCAGAAAACAAACGAGAATCTACTGTATTGTATCATTTTTCCAAAAGTAATTCTCTATTAAAATAAAATAAAAATGAAAAAAAAATCAAATTTATGTAATTTCTATACAATTTTCCAAATTCATAATTGTAAATAGGCACACAAAAGTAAATTGTGGTAATTTGATTTCAGTTCGATTAGATGTATTTAGGTAGACTTCCTAATTTGAATCCAGTTCAATCTAAGTTCAAAAAAAAACTAACATCAAAATAGGAAAATATCATTAAACATATTCGTTTTGAAAAACGTACCTGAATACTTGTTCTTGTTGGTAATGGATAGAGAAACCTTCTATTCATAAAACATAGAAATGTTGTGAATAGTTTCCGGAATCCAATACAAAGTACCCAATATGTTATAACGATATGGATATCCTCCAACAAACTGAATATTTTAAAGATTTTAGTAACTGAATCTATTTTTTTTACGGTTAAGATGTATTTGTTAGCAGAAAATATGTGTTTTGTTAAAGAGAAAACTACAAATTACAGTATGAACTAATTCTAAATTACAATATATGAAAAAACAATGATCATGGAAAACAACTTACCACTATTGATACCAACGGAAAAACAAAAGACAATTTGTTACGAGAATATAGATATAAAATTTGATATATTTAACTTTTTTTTTTAACATCCTAGCCTGAAAGCCAAGTTAAGTACAATACTATCTTAATTTTTTATCTTAATTTTTAATTTAATTCATGATTTGTTTCTATTTTCCTTTATTTTTTTAATAGTCTCATAGTTGTACTAAACTAAAAGCACCATGGTATTACATTTGACTTTGAGCTTAATATAACTATAAAAATAAAAATAAAAATAAAAAATCGTAAATTTTAAAATACAAAAGGTCAGACATCATATCATGAAAGTGTTGTATTAGTAAACCATAAAACTTGATTGTACCCATTACCGATCACACTAAAATCATCTTGTGTGTCATAGTCCTTAATTAGTGTGTACCGCTAAAAAGATTATTTGTTTGTTTGTTGGCATGATATGTAAATAAATGGTCGATCCAATTACTTGGTAATTTCTTCTTCCACTCAGCTTCACAACTCACAAGTAATAACGATTACAAATTGACAAATGCTTCTTTGAGTGATTAGTAAAAAGAAGATTTTTCATTTCTTTCATTTTGACCCCTATTAAATCCAAGCCGACTAATAGTAATAATAATACCACCACCACCAAATAAAGCACACAACAATCAAGCTAAAGAAACAGCAATAGGACTCCTCACAACATGGTCACTATCTGTCCAACTAAACCATCCAAATTGGTATTGACCCTTTTCAGTCGCGTTCATCACCTGGCCCGTCCGCGGTTTAATCACGATTTTAAACCGCTTCTTCTGACCAATCCGGTTAAAGGATAACACATTCGGTATCGCTTTAACCGAAACACCCGATGGCGGTTTAGCGTTGAATAGGTATGTGCTTGTTGTTGAGTTACCTATTCCAACATTTGTAACCGTTCTTTTAACGGTCACGGTCTTGGTGAGATTCGGGACCGAGATCGACGGGTAATTGAGATTGTAACCGGGAGGGATTTTACTAGGACATTTGAATGTCGGGTCAATATTGGTTAAGTTAACCGAACAGCCATATAGAAGGTAAGCTCGGTATGATGCATCATAGACTAAACCGGGATCTGCAGCTTTGGTTGGTCTGAAATGTCCTGACCCAAGTGCAAATGGGTTTGCGGGTAAACCATTAGCGTCTTGGATTGGTTTATTCTCATCGTTAGTCATCCAAGCTAAACCAAAACACAACACACATTTAATTAGTTCCAAAGACAATTTAAAGATTTTGGTTTAGCTAAACCGAACCGATGAAATAAAACAATGAATGTTTTGTTTTTACCAGTGGTCATAAGAGCAGATCTTATAGCAGCACTACTCCATTTGGGATGAATGGCTTTGAGAAGAGCAACTGCACCAGAGACATGAGGACAAGACATTGAAGTTCCTGTGTAGATATTAAAATCTGCAACTCTTTGATCTACTGCAACTTTGCTTGGTGAGTCTGCTCCACTCCATGCAGCCAGTATGTTCAGTCCAGGCGCGGTTATATCCGGCTATTAAACCCGCAACAAGAATCATCAAAACCGGTTAATTTCGGTTATGAGTCGTTTTGGTTTTGTTTGAATTTAATTAACAAAACAAGAAGTTTACCTTTAGAATGTTGGGATCTATCACGTTTGGACCGCGACTAGAAAACCCGGTCATCAAAGGAGCTGCTTGGTATTTGTAAACCGTTTTCCCCGGTTTGATTAAAGCCTTCGGGTTTTTATCGGTTTTGATATATTCGAGAATTTTCTCGACCACGGCTGGGGTAACCGGGGCAGTCGCAACAAAGTGAGAATCCGACGGGATTTCATTGCCGTTAGCCGGGGAATTTCCGAGAATCATACCGGCTCCTCCGGCTCGTTTTACCTCTATACCTTTACCAATTCTTGAACCGGCTCCTCTTAAACATAAGACTACTTTACCAGCCACAAGCTCCGGTTTAAGTGAATTTGGTAAACATTGCCTTCACACACACACAAAACAAAGATCATTAGGTCAAATATAAAATTAAATAAGATAAATGATAAAATTAGTAAGAGAGCAAGTCTTACGATGTATCGTTCAATGCAATGCCTGGAACAACCACATTAGCAGCATATACAAGAGGCGCGAATTTGTCCATTTTAAATGCCGTAATCGACTCCGTCTAAATAACACAGAAAGAAAACTATATATTATACAATGTAACGTATGATGTATACAAATATTTAGTATATAGTTATGGTCTAGTTACCTTAACTGTAAAGCCGTTACCAAGAACAAGGCCGCCAACAAAAGCCCGATCGAGAGTACTAGCTCCAACGGTAATAATCCACGGTGCCGGATTCGACAAAGTCCCCGGCTTTGGCCCTGAATTCCCAGCGCTAGCCGCAACGACAATGTTCTTTTTAATCGCATGTAACGCTCCAATCGCGATTCCGTCTTGTTGTAACGGCAAAGGATCAGTCGTTCCGATAGAAATGCTGATTACGTGGACGCCATCCGCGATCGCGTCGTCGATCGCGGCAAGCATGTCCTCTTGTAGACAAACATTTCCATCAACTTTCTCCGCGTTGGGCTTGGCCCAACAGGCTTTGTAAACAGCTAGACGAGCTAACGGTGCACCGCCCGAGGCCGAGCCCATTGCGAAACCTCCCAGTGCGGATGCACCGTACACTCTTCGACCAACGACAGTAGAGGCTGTGTGTGATCCATGTCCGTCCGGATCTCGTGGAGACAAGAAGTCTTTGTTTGCTGTAACGTTGAACGCTCCGAAATATCTTTCGTATCCTTTCACGTAATATCTCGCTCCAATAATTTTCCTGTAATTAGTAAAACATTAATCATTTGTTTTAAGTCTTTAAACATTTGAGAAGCCTCCAATAAACAAGTGATATTAAACTTAATTGGGCACACAATGATATTATAAAAACATAAGAATTGATGATATAACAAACAAGTTGAGAAGAGTCACGGGTGAACAATATTATCTAGAAAGAAGCAAATAAGTTTTTGTCCCTTACATATAAGACCAAAGCTTGCATATAACAATCAATTATCAAAAGTTTTCGGTTTCATGCATAAGAATAGCCAATACAAATATCTTTGTATGGTTTTTGATGGCAGGCTTACATAAGTGAACAGTTACAGAGTCTGCAAGCGAAAATAATGCATCGTTGTATATAGAAATAATATAAATACTAATGTAATAGAATAATAATTAAAGGTGGCTCTCGTGAATGATGATGATACGCAAGCTTAAAAAAGTTGCTGATCAATTATCGCAACCGAACAAAACATTGAGATTGTGACCTAATGTTTCGGACAGTGGCAACTCACAAAACTATACATACTCGTATGCCATTTTCAATGTTGCTAAATCTTGAAAAAGCAAAAAAAAAAAAAAAATCGATGTTGTAATATTTGAGTTTCTAGTGAAATAATCTTATCAGAATTGTGTCATTTTCGCAGTAAAAAAACTTAACATTTTATAATTCTACATAAGTATCTAATCTTATATTACTATGTGTAAAGGAGTTAAATGATCAATATAGAACAACATATCACATCATCATATTCACATATATATAAAAAATAAAAAGATTCTTGCATGAGGTTCTTTGGATCTTTGCTAAGGAACCTATTGGGTGATATGGACGTATAGTTTTACTTTTAATCTATTTTCTTACCTATACACTTTTTATCTATAGTTTTATTCATATAATTGTTGATATGCATGCACAACATCAACATCCTCTATTTGTTTTGATAAAGAAATTATAGATATTCTTAACAAAATATGGAAAAAAATTATCTTACCGGTTACAGTGAGAAGAGTTAAAGGCAACTCCGGTTTGGCAGATTCCATTCCATGACTTTGGAATTGGTCCCATTCCCTTATCACTGAAACTCCTTGATTCTGGCCACACACCTTTTTCATTTCCCCAAAA